GCCAGACAAAATTCATCTTTCATTCTTTACATTGTTTTTGTTGGATATTGTGTCATAGTGACTCAAAAGGACTAATACGAAGTAAAACAAGGCAAAGAAACAAACGGGAGGTTTCATTTACTTATCAAAGAAATAGAAGTAGTTTTATAGCATGATGTTCCAGAAACCGTCGGTACGGTGAGTGCTTTACTGTACTCAAGTGGTCTTGCCAGTATATAGAGGTGACTAATATGAAGTAAATAACCTCATAAATTATATATTCATGACTGGAAAAGTGACAGAAAGGAAAATGCATGGCATTTTGATGTATGCAACAATGGGTCTAATCTAGCCTGAAAGGTTAACACAACTTTCCCAAGGAGTCTCAGAAGATAATACTTGAAAAAAAAAAAAAAAAAGAAAAAGAAAAAGAAAAGACCTTAGCAATGCAAAGAGGGAAGGAAAGTGCTTTTTAGAAGTGAGAGCTTGTGAAAAGACCCCAAGGCAAGACAAGCTTGAATGTTCTTGGAACGGAAAGAAAATGGTTGTGGTTGGAGGTCAGAGAAGAATGGAACCAATTAAAGTTGGACAGAAAAGCAAAGCTTGGGACAAATTATGCAGTACTTGAAGGCCAAAAAATTGGGGGTTTATTTTAATATGAAGACACTGAATAATTCAATCCAATTTATGAAACGGATAGTGCCTGACATTTTCTTTTTAAGGGTTATGGGACATAGCAAACCAGCCTGGACTCAGCCCTCCTCAGAGCCGCCAGGTGAGCAACACTGTATTGATTAAAGCTCTTTGTGGTGACTGGAAATCAGTGAAGGGTTTGGAGCAGCCTGATGAAGGCCCACAAAGGAAAAGGCATCAACATTGTAGGGAATTATTATACTCACCTTTGCACAACCCCCTACCCCGGAGTGGCAGGAAGAACTAATTCCTAGCCACTGCTTCAGGATGCCATCTGTCTGAGCAGAAGAGGTTACTAAGAGAGAAGATGTCTGTAGATTTTTACTCTCTTTGGGAAGTTTGTAAATTACGGAGAGAAAATGCATCCAAGGACCTTAATGACCAGGTCCTGGTGACCCCACGGTATTGCGGGTGCTGAGCTCCATTAGAAATAACATTTGTCCCAGAATATTTTATGTCACTTTGTCTCTTCTACAGCCCTCAGAAATATGCATTATTTCCTCATTATTCAAATGAGGCAATTAGAGCACAGAAATTTGGCATCAACCAAGGTCACACATTACATGGCAGAATCAGGGTTTAAAAACCAGGTCTTTGGTGTTCTTTACATCCCTGCCAGTTCAGATAAGTCTGAAAGAAAATGCAATGGTCTGCTTTTGGAGAGCAAGTCTAGCTCATTTCCTTTTCCACTTATCTATTTAATTTTCAGAAGATGATGGAAGTCAATTTTTTATATTTTCCATTTTTTACTCTAAAATTCTTTTGCTAATTTTATACACTATATTTTGATTGTATTTAGATACTCTCCCCTATCTGAACCCCCCTTTACCACTCTGCATCCAATTTCATGTAATATAACATATATAAGTATATATTATACATTATATTTCATATAATATATACATATTAAGGCCAATAGAGTCAAATTTCTGTCCCCAAATGCCCTTCAGAGTATATTCATCCCCTGGAGCCTGGTTAACCTACTAAGAGTCTCACCCTTCAATGAGACTGCACCTCTCCCAGCAGCCATTAGCTGCCAGTAGTTCTTCAGGTAGGGTTGGGGCTTCTTACTCACCTCCCCATGCCTATGGTGGGATTTTGTCTGGCTTGAGCTTACATGGGACTTGTGCATGCTGTCACCATTGTTGTAATTTCATATGGGAAACTACTGAGCTGTCTGGAAAACACTGTTTCCTTGTGATCATTCACTATTTTTGGCTCTTACAGTCTTTCCACTCACTCTTCTGTAATGATCTCTGAGCCTTAGGAGGCAAAAGTATGATGTAGGTGTCCTATCAGGAATAATCACTCTGCTGGCTCTTATTCTCTGAACATTGACCAGTTGTTGGTTCTGTGTTAATCACCATCTGCTGCATTAGGAATCTTCTCTGGTGAAAGCTGAGTGATGCATTAATCTATGGGTATAACAATAACTCCTTGGGAGTCATGTTAATATTATATTTATTTAGCAGAATAATAGTACTAGGTTTTCTCCTATGGTCCCTGGCCTGTCTATCCACATGTCCCTAGGCCTGATATCAATGTCAGGCATGGGCTCCATCCTACGAAGTGTACCTGAAATCCAATTACAAGGTGGTTGGTTACTCCCATAACATTCGCACCACTAAATTTTGGTTGTTGTTGTTGGCATTTGTGAGTAACCATCCACATATTCTTCTTGGCCCATGTCATGTGACTCTTACCAAAGCTTATTTTGCTACATCTGTTTTTGACACCAATATTGGTTACTTCTACCCAACATTACGACTTTTTCCAGAATAGCTCCCTCATATTCTCTCTACCATGCATGCTTATCTTCTGGTTTACATGTTTGAAATTTTTGTGACCATTTGTTTCTTTTATCCCTAGCCCTAGGTCTGTTATTGTTCAAGTTCAATACAATTTATTGCATTAACAACATATACTCTGCCTTTTTGTGATGTAGATAATAGTGCCAAATGAGAAAAGAAACGTAAAAGTGTTTGTCAGAGTATAGTGAGCTATACAAGTGAAAAAGATATTGAAACACATATTTGGGCCTGAATGTCAAGGTCATGATTACTAATAGTACCAACAAACAGGAAAAGAGATACCTTTTCCCTTTTAGTTTTGTTCATGTTTTTCTCACAATCGGACTGAAGTCAAATCACCAACACGACCGGTTACTGATCTTGATTACCTGGCTCACATAGTGTTGGTTAAGTTCCTTCACTGTTATCTCCCTGACTGCTTGTCATACTGCACCCTATAATCACTGTGTAGAGCTAACATTTGAGGAGGGAGAGTTATGTTCCCCTTGCTAGAAATCAGAGTAGCTGCATAAATTATGGTTCTTCTTCATGGGAGATTTATCTCTTCATCTTCCTTATTTTTTCATTGATTTAGTTAATATGAATTCATAGATATACTTCAGATTATAATTCTAGTTTAGCTTCCTTCTCAGATTCTCCCACATCTGTCCAGTGGAGCTTAGTAACTTGGTTCTAGCATTTCTTACCATTCCTCTATCATTGTATTTAAAATTTCCCTTTGTTTTAGCACATCTTTCTTTTGGGCATCAGGAAATAATAGACGATTGTGTGTCTATTTGCTGTGCTAACCTTGGAAACAACTAGTTCTCAAAGATCCCTGGCTCCTTTTATAAGAGAATGGTATTAAGAACTAAGGCCTTTGAGATGGAATAGTCATTTCTACTAGGATGTCCATTTTGTGGCCTTTTCAAATTGACAATACAAGGAAATATGCATGTTTGCTGGTTAGAAATATTTCTATATTAACCGTAAGTAAGCTAAAACACAAATTCATTCTTCAGCTCTTATCTGTCACCAAATGGATTAATTATTCTAGCTATTTCCTCTTGCCTATAGCCTCCTAACTCAATACTAAGAATTTAGCCCTTTATGTTCTAATACGCACGCATAGTAGTTTCAGAATTCGTAACCTGAACCCTCATAGGAAACAATTTATAAACTAAAATACAGAACTAATACATACCCTCCTGGACTCCACTCCTTTCCAACGTTGCTGAGATCAGCACCTCCAATCAGCTTTTCAGTGGAGTTGTTTCAAATATTTATAATGTAGTTAGCTCTTTTGTCATAATGCACATTTTATCCCGGCATCTTTTGTACTCCTAAATTATTTTTAAAATTTGCATGCATTAAAGTTTACTCTTTATGCTTCAACACAGTGTCATGTATCCTTATTTACAGTGTTAGACACAGTAATATCACTGCCTAAAAACACTCTGTACTTCACTTACTTAACTCTGTGCCTCCTGAGCCCATATCAGTGACTCATGTATTCAGTGTATGCATAGTTTTGACTTTTCCAAATGGTCATATATATGGGCTCATACACATGCAGCATTTGCAAGTTGTCTGCTTTCACTCAGCAATATGATTTAGGTTTTATATGGCCTCTAAGTGGCTTGATAACACCTGCTTTACTACTGAGTAGTATTCCATTATATGGATTTACTGTAGTTCATTCCTTCACCTACTGGAAAGCATCCTGTTTTTTTCCAGTTTGGGGAAATCGTGTATATAGCTTTTAAACATTTAAATTTTTTGTTTATTTATTTTATTTCCTAGAGTTGAACTTACACTTAATTTTTATATTTGTTTTTCTTAATTCCAGCAAATTAGTGAGTTTCCTTACCACATCTTCATACACACTTTGCTTTTGTTGATCCTCCTACACAATTCTCATTGTGGCCTTCCTCCCACAGTAGTCCCTGTCCCTTTTCATGTCACATGGCTCTGTAATCTTCCAGTTCCTCTCCCCCTTCCTTAAGACCTGTCTTCCCTTCTTATGATTATTTTTCTAGTTTCATGACCCTACAGATATACACATGTATAAAAATTGAAATCCAGGATACACATATGAAAGAGAACATGCAGTATTTGTCTTGCTGAGTCTAGGTTACTCTACCTTAATATGATGATTTCCAGAAACTGTCATGATTTCATTTTCCTTCACAGCTGAATCCAATTCCATTGTCTATAAATATATGTTTTCTTTATCCATTTTTTATGTTGAGGATATCTAGACAGTTGTGTTTCCTGGCTACTGTGAACAGTTCAGCAATAATATGGCTGTGGTAGAACTTAGAGTCCTTTGGGCATATGTCTAAGAGCAGTATAGTTAGGTTGTATGGTAGTTCTAATTTTAGTTTCTTGAGAACCCCCAGACTGATTGTCATATAGGCGACCCACCAGCAGTGCATAGGTGTTCTCCCCTCCTGCCCCGCATCCTCTCCAGCATTTGTTGTCATTTGTTGTTCTTTATATTTAACCACTCTGACTGCCGTTTAGATGGAATCTCATGCTTGCTTCGGCATAACATATACTAAAATTGGAACTATACAGAGAAGACTAGCATGGCCCCTGCACAAGGATGACATGCAAATTCATGAAGTGTTCCGTATTGACAAAGAAGATAGAATCTCAAAGTTCTTTTAACTTTCATTTCCAAAATGACTAAGAATTTTGAACACTTTAAAAATATTTACTGATCATTTGTATTCCTTCTTTTAATAATGATCTATTCAATTCATTAGCCCTTTGCTGATTAGAAGTTTGAGGTTTGAGGATATTTAATTTTTCAGTTATTTATATATTCTAGATATTGACTCCTTGTTTGAAGTACAGCTAGCGAAGATTTTCTGCCATTCTATAGGCTAATGTTTCCTTTGCTGTGCAGAAACTTTTTAATTTCATATAATCCCATTCTTGGGTTAATTTCCTATGGTACTGGAGTTCTTTTCAGAAAATTTTTTTTAACCTCTGCTTATATTTCGCAACATTTTTTCCATAGTTTTTCTCTAGAAGTTTCAGTGTTTCAGGTTTTAAGTTAAGGTATTTTGTGCATTTTGAATGGATTTTTGTGAAGGGTGAGAAATGTGAATCTAATTGGCATGTGAGTAGCTAGTTTTGACAGCACTATTTCTTGGATATGTTTTTTTCCAGTGTATGCAATAACTCATAGGTAGATCTTTTTTAACCTAACTATATCTTTCAAATAGTGAGTTGAACCTTTTGCAATCGAGGTTATAAATAGAGTTTTCTGTTTCCTATAGTTTTTATTCATTGTTCTGCTTTGTTGTATTATTGGTAGCATTTTTCTTAATCCCTTTTATATTTATTTATTATTTTTATTTTATGTGTGTGAGTGTATTACCTGCATGCATGTAAGTGCACCTTTGTCCTGCAATGCCCGCGGAGGTCAGGAAAGAGCATCAAATCCCCGGGAACTGGAGTTAAGGACAGTTGTTAGCTGCCATGTGGGTGCTGGGATTTGAACCTGGGTCCTCTGCAAGAGCAGTCAGTGCTCTTAACCTCTGAGCCATCTCTCCAGCCCTCTTCCTCCCTTTTGTTGTTAGTACTTTTCTAGTTTCCTAATTTGTTCATGATAAGTTCCTTTACAGATTTTCTTTCTTCAATAGTTCCTCTTATGAAATGCATTTTTTCTTTGGTTTTCATGGGTGAGATTGTCGTCTCTGATGACTTATGATGCTGAATATATTTTTATATATTCATTTTCCATTTGTATATCTTCCTTGGTGATATATATGTTTTGCCCATTTAAAAATGAGATGTATTTTTGTTGTTATTGTTACTGAGTTAAAGAGTTCTTGTGTATTTAAGACATAAGTTCTGTTAGCTTTAGTTTTTAAGGTACTATTTTTATTTTTAATTATGTGTATTCCTTTGTATCTGTGTGTGGGTTTGTGCACATGATTGCAATGCCTATGGAGGCCAGGAGAGAGTGTCAGATCTTCTGGTGCTGGAGTTACAGGCGGTTATGAGCTGCTCAGTGTGGATGTTGGAAATCGATCTTAGGTCCTCTATAAGAGCAGCAAATGCCCTTAGCTGCTGAACCATCTCTCTCTAGCCCCTAAAATATACATTTTAAGCTTATATAT